ATGAACGTTTAATGCACTCACACATTTAAATCGTTTAGCTCAAGGAAACACTCAGCATATGTCATATATGGTATTCAGACACATGTAGATGCGCAGATTCTAAACATAACTACATTGTCATCTGACACAATGGTGAAAAACATGGCATTTCAGTCTCTGTTCACAAATTGCCGTTAGCAAGACAGTTAAAGGTTCAGCCGTTGATGGTTTGCCACTAACTAGGGTACACATAAATCGCACTGTATATCCTTTAACCTATTATCAATATACATAGATATTTAACTTTGCACGCCCTCATCAAAACGACAACTGTACCGTATTTATTTGTTATACATACAGATACAATATAAAGCTATAGCTACAAAGTGCTTCGCTTGTTTGGCTTGTGGTTAGCAAGACAGTGAGATGGGGGTAAGTTTGTTGGGATGTTTTGCCCTAAAACGTGTACATGTACATTTCACCGTTTAATATTTTACCTGTTATCAAAATACATCTTGATCTAACTTTCCAATCACTCACACTCTCATCAAAACGGATTGGTAAAGGTATGAGTTTTTTACACATAGAATATACTATAAAGCTATAACTACAAAGTGTTTACTTTACGTGAATTATTGACCATGTTTCGTCAAGCTAGTTGTAGGGTGGCTTATTCTGTTTAGCATAACTGGCAATCCTTGGGCATCTGTTGAATGGAAATATTATATGAATAGATGACTGTAAATCAGTGATATCGTCAGGTGTTGACGAAACTGGTAAGTAATTATTTTGCTAAATAATCCTCAACTCCAGGTCCGTGTCAACAGGGATCAGATGCCTCAGCCCGACAACCTTCAGCTTATTGGGAAATAGCTGAACAACAATTAAACCAAGCGAACAGGAAACATTTCAGGTGGTCAGTTCCTGGTGATATATCCGGCTTTGCAAATGGTATAAATCTTTGTGCTAATGGAAACCTAATCGCATTTTGACGCTGTGTCATGTATTGAACTGTATTCATCTTGAATACGGCCATAAATGAGCATCAATCTGTCGAAATATCGTAGTACAAATTAAGGCTGCGTTTGAAAATACCAATATTTCAGTTACGGGTGTTATTAGATTCATTGTTGGCATGAATTGCATTAAAAACTATCAATAGAGGTTTGGAAAGATCCAGGCAAGAGTCAGATACCTTGATGATGGATAGAATCTAAAAGATTAAGACTGGTGGCTCAACCATGGACGATGGATCAATAACCCTTTTCAGAAAAGATAAGTAATCGTTATAAAGGAAAGGGATTCCACTGTCTTCTTAGTTCTTCTGTTGGTTTTGAGTGCCTTTCATGTGCGTTCAGCTTTTAGATATTTGATGTGCGGTATGAAAGTAAGATAGTGATCAAATATTATTCTGAGTCTTCGATTGACGTTTTGGGGTCCCAATGTGGTTCAACTTCCCATAACAATAAATGCAATTGCTATAATTCTGCTGGAAGCGCAGTAAACGTAATAAACGTAATAGAGTCAGCGAAACCTAATTCGCAAGCGTAGGTAAATATCTGTTGCAACTGAATGTGTGATCGGTGTTATTATGTGTCTGAGAGAATACATCGCTGGCCCCTGGTGCGTTCACTCAACCTGGTTAATGTATGGGAGGCACCCATTGTAACAATGTCAGCAATTTCCAGTATATTCCAAGAACTATTTTGTTTGCGTATGATTTCAATTAAATGTGTCTGATCAAACACATTTTGTGAATGGATTACGGAAAATATGTGATGACGCCAGGCGCCTACACTATTTGCATTAAAACGTGGACCTCCATTTCGCATGTTGGCATTTCCATGTGTTGCCTAACATCTTTTATATATAACCTGACGCCCGATTTGAATTAGGAAGTTTATATAAGTGTGTTGCCTGAAACTCAATTTTCATCAAGAAGTATCTGTATTTTGTTGACGCCTACAGGGAAATATTCCAGCTGTATAATGATTGAAGAAAGATTATTACCTAATACATTAAACTTTTTTCCCGTTCTTGAAATGTTGGCGGATCAATAAGCTATTATAGCCTTATTTATCGACATATTCAAATACATAATGATCACCTTTGCCTGAACGTCGTAGAAGCAGGAGCTCTTTCTGTGCTCGTAGACAGGGGGAGTGGAGTTAAAAGTGAGTGAGTTAGTATTTCACGTCACATCTGCAATATCTCAGCCATATCGTGACGAAAACAATTTATACAATACAAAAATGAAAACATTGTGAAGAGTTAAACCTGACAACGATGGACAGTAAAATAGTATCACACATCACACATTTGAATATAAAACTAGCATGTAAAACTAAAACAGTGTAAATAAAGAAGACAATACAATATAAAACACAGCTATAGATCGCCAGCATCTGAAGGTAGATCACCTTACTAGGAACTGTGGGGACTTACAGTACATTTGCGTCACCTCGGCAATATTTCAGCCATATAGTGACGAGAAATGTTTTACATAAACAATAAATTAAAGTTGCTAAATAATCAGTCATCGAAGGACTGTAAAATAACTAGATTATCACAGATGGAGTCTAAAACTAGCATGAACATGTAAAACTATTTTATTTACGAAGACAATACAATATAAAAACGGGCTATAGATCGCCAACAACTGAAGGTAGATCACCATACTAGGAACCATGGGGACTTACATTACTTTTGCTACCTGCATGGACCCTAGCTGGATTTACACCATCCCTTCAGCCGCTGGCGATTGTAGGATAATTTAGCCGAAATTTAAAATAACAAAAATACGACGTTTAAAAACTTGGTTCTTGAAAATTTTACATTGAAAGTTTTGGGGACTTACTTGTAGAATTAAAAGATATAAAAGTGGGTGTGAGATGAAGGAGTGAGTGAAAATAATTCGCGGGGAATAGAAGTAGGAGGAGCTTTTGGGATAGAGCAAAATGACACTGTTCGACACTCCTTTGGCCAAGCATTTATCACTGACAAAGGTCTAATCTATATTTTATAGTTCTGATGATTTGACCAGTTAGTAATAAACAAAAAGGCAGGCACCCGTGAAGAGCCACCTCCTCGTGGTGGGTGCTGGGTAACGCTAAGCGCTCTTCAACCCCCCGTTGTGGACCCGGGGGTATATTTGGTCCACCAACCCGTTTGCCGTGGGTTGCACCCCTGTGTCGGTGGAGGACGGGATTCTGGTGGTTGAGGGCACTGGTTCCAGGAACAGTGTTCCTTTGCCCAACACACCACTTCGGCCCTGACTTCACCTAGACGGGTGGTAGAACTGGCCCGGTTCTATCAATCGGCTGGTCACGCCATGCCCTGTGCATGGACAACATTCACATTTATATTAATGTACATTTATATAATGTTGATATTGACCGTTGCATTTCAAAATTATATTATTATTTACAATTGCCTTGAGTCCTATGCCAGAAGTCGGTGGCTCATGGGCCAATCTGGTGATAATAACCTCCAAATGATGCATGTCTCCAATTTTTTGTCTTGGGCCTAACCAGTCGGGCATGAAATTGGTAGATAAATGCAGCTATTTGTGTTGTTTTCTCTGGAGTATAACACCCCTGTATCCCTTGTGTCAGCATCTTGGATACCCGTTGCTATTTGACACTGTCCTTGTTGACACTCCGTGGTGGGTGGGGAGCAGGGGTGCTGAATTATTTCCTTTCATCATGGAGCTTACGCATGCTGGTTCAATTCGCAATGAAAAGAAAAGACGTTTAGAGGACTTAGATCTCTCAACTGTAAAAAGATGCTTCAAACAATGATTCCTGGCCACGATTTTTGGTGATTGAGGCTGCAGATTTCCTACCCATTAAACTAAACCCGTTTGCAATCTCAAAGGGTGTATCTGGTATTTGCGGACAAGTTAACAACATCACCCCTTGTCCGTAGTGGTTCACTTCTTGTGGAGTGTGCATGGAGACAGCAATCTGTCAATTTGCTATCGACAAAACATTTGCAAATATTGAGGTTGTTGTTTCTGTGCACAGGACACTTAACTCTTGTCGAGGCTTTGTTCGGGACAGAGCTCGCTGCTTGTCCGACATGTCTGAAGAAGACATCGCTACGGAGCTAAAAGAACAGGCGGTAACCGCAGCTAAGCGTTTTACCATCAAGAGAGATGGCGCAATCATAAAAACAAACCCATATTTAATGTCGTTTGCGCGTTCTTCTCTACCAGACTCTATTAAAGCAGGATATTTTAATATCGGAGTGGAGGTGTGTGTCCCCTCTCCACTTCGATGTTTTAAATGTCAAAAATTCGGACATGGTTCAAGCTCTTGTCGAAACTCTGTCGACTGTCATCGTTGTGATGACAGCCACGAAGGCACTGACTGTCAAAAAGATTATAAATGCTGCAATTGTGATGGAATCTAAAATCCTCAAGCTAAAGTGTCAAAACAATATTTCCTACCTTGAGGCCAAAAAACTATTCAAAACTGAGACAGCATCTCCATCAACCATAACCTATTCTGCTGCAGTTTCTCGATCTGTGGCAACATCAACTATTTCGTGTCAGACTGACTTGACATGGGTCAAGTCAGAGAAGCCTGTTGCTTTGAAATCAACCACACTCCCTTCTCAAACTATTCAGTCAACATCTGCATCGAAGTCAACGTCTGCATCGCAGACAGAGAATCAGGTTACGGCAAAATCAGGAGCCAATGTCAAACAACCAGCAGTAAATCAATTAACAAAAAAGAAAGGAAAGAAAAACAGAACAGAAACAATCACCGTCCCTTCACCATCAGAGGTTTCTTTATAGAACTAATTTGGGCCTCTGGATATGGAGGTAACTCTGTCCATGCAGGACAGGAGGAGGAACAGCTCCCCCTCACATTCAAGAGAGATATCGCCAATTGAGCCACCATGACTCAGTTGGCCAATTTAATTCAATGGAATTGCAGAGGGCTGAAGAATAACTTCAATGAGATACAATTGTTATTGCAGGATTTTAAACCTTCAGCATTATGTGTTCAGGAGACATATATAAAAAATACGGACTCATTCAATTTACGACAATACAGTGATTATCACTGCTTCTCTCCATCAGGAGATAAAGCAACTGGTGGTGCTTCTGTTTTGGTACAGCAGGGCATCATACATAGCCCTGTCCCTCTTAATACCAATCTCCAAGCTGTAGCTGTTCGTCTGACTATGCACATTGCGTTGACGCTGTGCAGTTTATATGTCCCTCCATCTTCTGATATCCGACTGTCGGATCTGCAAAATCTGTATGATCAGCTGCCAAAGCCATGTCTCATCATGGGCGATCTGAACGGACACAACCCGCTTTGGGGTAGTGTCCATTCTAATACTAAAGGTAAAATTATTGAGGAATTCATTTCCGATAATAATTTATGTATTTTAATGATGATTCAGCCACTTTTCGTCATCCAGCTACGGGAACTTATTCTTCCCTGGATTTGTCTCTCGCTGACTCAAACTTGTATAATGAATTTGAATGGATGGTCCATGATGGCCTATGTGGGAGTGACCACTTCCCTACCATTCTCAAAACAATCAGCCCCGGTGATGATCCACCTTTATCAAGGAGAAATTTCGCCAGGGCGGATTGGTCATTATATGAGAAACTGTGTGTTGAACACTTGCAGCATGATCTTTTTAGGAACAGTGAAGATCCTATACAGTCTTTTTCGGATATACTAAATCACACTGCTGACAAAACAATTCCTAAGTCCTCTGCAATTCCACATATTCGTAAACCATGGTTTAATAATGAATGCAAACAGGCCAGAAAATGTAGGAAAAAGGCCGAAAAATATTTTCGCAAACACCCTACTGTCCATAATCTAGACAAGGTCAAAATTACTAATGCTAAGGCTAGACGTTCTTTTAAATAAAATAAGCGTCAGTCTTGGCGAAATTATGTTTCTAAAATAAATTCACGTACACCTATGTCAAAAGTGTGGAACATGATCCAAAGAATAAAAGGCAAAGGTTCCAAATCTACTGTTCATCATTTGAAGGACGGTGATAAATTATTGACTAATAAAACTGACATTGCAAATAAACTTGGTGAAACTCTTGCCAAGCATTCATCTTCATCTAATTATGTCCCTGAGTTTCAAAAGTATCAGAAACAGCAGTAGAAAAAAAGAATAAATTTTAACTCAGACAATGGTGAAGATTATAACGAACTATTTTCGTTACATGAGCTCCATACCGCCCTTGAGCAAGCTCATGATACAGCAACAGGAGCTGATAATATTCACTTTAGGCTCTTGAAACATTTGCCGGAATCATGTTTAGAAATCCTTTTAGAAATCTGTGATCAAATATGGACTTCAGGGAATTTCCCAACTTCGAGGCGTGATGCCATTGTAATCCCTATTCCAAAACCTGGCCGGGATCATACTGATCCGTCTTATTACAGACCAATCTCTTTAACGAGTTGTGTGTAAACAATAGATTAACATGGTATCTTGAAACCAATAACCTTATAACCAATATTCAATGTGGTTTCAGGAAAAATCGTAGTACCATTGATCATTTGGTACGACTAGAATCCTTTGTTAAAAATGCAATAGTAAATAAACAACATGCTGTATCGATATTCTTCGATCTTGAGAAAGCGTACGATACAACCTGGAAGCATGGCATTTTAAAGGATTTACATGATTTTGGTTTAAGGGGTCGTTTACCTCTTTTTATATCACACTTTTTATCAGACAGGCAATTTCAAGTCCGAGTGGGTTCAACGTTGTCTGACCATTAAAATCAGGATCAGGGTGTCCCACAAGGCAGTATGTTGTCTGTAACATTGTTTAGTGTCAAGATCAACAGTTTATCCAAGGTTTTAAATGATTCAATTGATGGATCACTGTTTGTGGATGCTTTTAATATTTCTTGTCGAGGTAAGAATATGCATACTATTGAACGGCAACTACAGTTGTGTTTAAACAAAATAAATAAATGGTGTCTTGAAAACGGCTTTAAATGTTCTAAATCAAAAACTAATTGCATACATTTCTGCCGTGAATATAGGCCACATAAAGACCCAGAACTGTCTTTAAATAGCACTCCCATCAAGGTTGTGAAAGAGGCCAAGTTCTTGGGTCTGATTTTCGACTCCCATTGAACCTTTCTTCCGCATATCAAGTCTCTGGGACTGAATGCCTGGGGGCACTTGGTTTGTTGGGAGTCGTTTCTGGTTCAAAGTGGGGAGGGGACCGGGCTGCCCTCCTACACCTGTATAGATCACTGGTCCGCTCGAAGCTTGATTATGGCTCCGTCGTATATGGTGGAGCCTGTAAAAGCAACCAAGAACTATTGGATTCAATCCACCACCAAGGTCTGAGACTTTGTCTTGGTTCATTCAGAACATCTCCTGTTGACAGTCTCTCCGTCGATGCAGATGAACCATCTCTTACCCAACGCCGTATAAAACTATCATTACAATATATTACCAAACTATATTCTAACGAGTCTAATCCTGCATTTCACTGCATCTTTAATCCTCTTTATGAGGATTTGTACAACAAGAAATCTTCTCTTGTTCCGCCTCATGGGCTCAGGATTAAGCCATTCATTACTGCTGCCGGCATTGAGCTGGAGAATATATCTCCTTCCCGTCTTCTTTCTCTCCTCCTTGGGAATTGGTTAGGCCACAAGTCGACTTAACACTCACTAAATTTAAAAAAATCAGAAACTAATGACTTACTATATAAACAAGAATATAATCAATTAAAAAGTAAAATACATACAAATCCTTATTTACAGATGGGTCCAAGGATGGTGGCGCGGTTGCTTGTGCCACTGTCATTGGGTCAAAAACAATATCTTCCAGATTACCCAATGCCAGTTCAACTTTCAAAGCAGAAGCAAACGCAATACTAACAGCTCTTAAATATATAAATAAACACCCTAAATATAAACAATATATCATCTTTTCAGATTCCTCTTTTTGTCTTCAGGCTATTAAAAATCTTTCTTGCAAACATCCACTTTTAGTAGAAATTATTGAATTGTACAATGAACTTGCTACTGGCCAATGCGACATCGTCTTTTGTTGGTTACCCAGCCACGTTGGCATTTCTGGGAACACCGTGGCTGATCTTGATGCTAAGGCTGCACTCAACAAGTCGGTGACACAACTTCTAATTCCATACTCTGATTACAAAGCTAGCATTAGAACATACATCCGCGATCTGATGCAGAAGAAGTGGGACACCCAAGTAGGTATTAATAAATTACATGAAATAAAACCCTATATTGGTTACACCTACTTGGGTTGTCAGTCCAGATTTGAAGAGGTCATCATGCGACGATGTCGTATTGGCCATACAAGGTACTATCACAAATATTTGTTAAAAGGTGAAGATCCTCCGTTTTGTATCCCTTGTGATGAGAGAGTCACAGTCAAGCATCTCCTGCTTGACTGTGTTGAATTCTCCATCATAAGGGATAACTATTTCAATGTTAAAACTGTTAAGGATCTTTTTAATTCTGTTCATCTTCATTTAATTCTTGCTTTTATAAAAGAAATTGATTTAATTAATGAATTTTGATAAATATGTTCTGTAGATAGATGTGTTTTAATGATTGGTAGTGTAGATTATGAGCTTAGATTGTTAGCGGCTGTATCCTCAAAGGGGGTGGAAGTAGCGTAAAATTATTGTCCTCCTGAGAGGGTACGTAAGTCCCAAAAACTTTCAAAGTAAAATTTTCACGTCCTTTGCTTTAAACGTACTATTCTTGTCATTTTAATTTGTGGCTAAATTGTCCCACTTTTCGCCAGCAGCTGAAGGGATGGTGTAAATCCAGCTAGGCTCCATGCAGGTAGCAAAAGTAATGTAAGTCCCCATGGTTCCTAGTATGGTGATCTACCTTCAGTTGTTGGCGATCTATAGCCCGTTTTTATATTGTATTGTCTTCGTAAATAAAATAGTTTTACATGTTCATGCTAGTTTTAGACTCCATCTGTGATAATCTAGTTATTTTACAGTCCTTCGATGACTGATTATTTAGCAACTTTAATTTATTGTTTATGTAAAACATTTCTCGTCACTATATGGCTGAAATATTGCCGAGGTGACGTTAAATTCTATGTCACTCACTCACAAACAGTCATCTTCTATGGTAATATAATATACCAGGCTGTCCATTTAATGAACATGACATGTACACCATTGCACTACATCCGGGGGCGATGAGGTAGCCTCATGGTTGTAGCTTCGCTCGTCATGCTGGAGACATGGGTTCCATCCCCACATTGGTACAATGTGTGAAGCCTATGTCTGGTGTACCCCCGTCGTGATATTGCTAAAAGTGGGATAAACCCACACTCACTCGCTGCACTACCCCGAATATAAATAAATACGTGTGAATACAAATATATCCGTTCAGCGTCACCCTAGTGTTGTAAATAACTGTTTACACGATATGTTTGTCCCACGGTATTTTCGGTTTTGTTCTGTGCTGAAAATGTCAAATGTATATTTCCAGTGAACATTTTACCAATGTCAAAGTGAAATAGATAAATGTAGATAAATGCATTTTTAGCATTGGTAATTTAAAGGTCACATGCAACCAAAAAATCAAACATAATTAAAACACAATTATCACTTATTCATGACATATGGTATACATTGCTGGTTATAAGCGTACAATCGCAAATCAAAAGTGCAATATTGTGTACTTGGGTTTACTTCCCAAGAAACGAAGCAGCCGGGATACCGAACCCAGTCAGAGCGGGTGGGTGTGCACTCAAGTGTAACGGCTGGTCCATTTGCAGACGCCCTCACGGCTCATTGTGTGTGTATATATAGAGATGTTGGGTTTTGTAAAAGTCGGGTAAATAAAATAGTTTTACATGTTCATGCTAGTTTTAGACTCCATCTGTGATAATCTAGTTATTTTACAGTCCTTCGATGACTGATTATTTAGCAACTTTAATTTATTGTTTATGTAAAACATTTCTCGTCACTATATGGCTGAAATATTGCCGAGGTGACGTTAAATTCTATGTCACTCACTCACAAACAGTCATCTTCTATGGTAATATAATATACCAGGCTGTCCATTTAATGAACATGACATGTACACCATTGCACTACATCCGGGGGCGATGAGGTAGCCTCATGGTTGTAGCTTCGCTCGTCATGCTGGAGACATGGGTTCCATTCCCCACATTGGTACAATGTGTGAAGCCTATGTCTGGTGTACCCCGTCGTGATATTGCTAAAAGTGGGATAAACCCACACTCACTCGCTGCACTACCCCGAATATAAATAAATACGTGTGAATACAAATATATCCGTTCAGCGTCACCCTAGTGTTGTAAATAACTGTTTACACGATATGTTTGTCCCACGGTATTTTCGGTTTTGTTCTGTGCTGAAAATGTCAAATGTATATTTCCAGTGAACATTTTACCAATGTCAAAGTGAAATAGATAAATGTAGATAAATGCATTTTTAGCATTGGTAATTTAAAGGTCACATGCAACCAAAAAATCAAACATAATTAAAACACAATTATCACTTATTCATGACATATGGTATACATTGCTGGTTATAAGCGTACAATCGCAAATCAAAAGTGCAATATTGTGTACTTGGGTTTACTTCCCAAGAAACGAAGCAGCCGGGATACCGAACCCAGTCAGAGCGGGTGGGTGTGCACTCAAGTGTAACGGCTGGTCCATTTGCAGACGCCCTCACGGCTCATTGTGTGTGTATATATAGAGATGTTGGGTTTTGTAAATACATGCTCATTTTTGTGTATAACATTATGCAATCAACAGACATCATAACATGTTATGTGTTCAAGTATCACACCTGCCTGTCTGTGTAATTACATAATGTGACAGAGACCGAACTCGGGCCATAAATCAATGCGTTTTATGGTGTATAGCCTGATAGGTGTTGCATGTGGTCAGTGATAGCAGTTGTGTATTGAATATTGTCATTAGCAGACAGGCAGGCAGACACACAGGTGTCAATAAAACAAGACATTGAGTTTTGTCTGTGACAACGACATATCTATATCACAGTTAGAAATTGTGTCAACGCTAAATAATGACATTGCTTTTAAGTATCGAACTGAGAAAGTGACTCGGTAAGAAGAACGTGTGGTGAAATAGACAAATGAAATTATATAAACAGTTTATTAACTGTCATAACATATAAAAAGCTCGCGCCTGTGAGATATCAACAAAACATTAGGAAAATAGCTCACACCAAAACCTTCACCGAGTATTCACTGGACAGCCCGCTTCCAAGTTGCGCGAACCTATTTCACTGCGCACGTGCTATGAGCGCAGCCCAGCTGTTGAAACCAGTTTTCCCCCGAAAAGTCGGGTTTTTTCATCGCGTTATTTTTCAACTTTATAAGTTGAATTTGCATTTTTGATGATTTGTTTTGGTAAGTCCATACCGAAAGGTATCAGAATCTGCAAAGTTGTGTTTTACGTTGCATGTGACCTTTAAATTAGAAACTGAATTTGTGTGTGGCTGTACCTTCGAAGGGGGTTGACGTAGTTTAAAATTATTGTCCTCCTTAGAGGGTACGTAAGTCCTAAAACATTTGAAGTAAATTTAAGTCTACCAGGTTTTTAATCGTAGTATTTTTGTCATTTTAATGTATGGTTACATCTCAGCATAAACACCAATGGCTGAAGTGATGGTGTAAATCCAGTTAGGGTCCATGCAGTTAGCAAATGTAATGTAAGTCCCCATGGATCATAGTATGGTGATCTACCTTCAGCTGTTGGCGATCTATAGCCCGTGTTTTATATTGTATTGTCTTCTTTAATTGACATATTTTAGTTTTCATGTTTTATTGTATAAATTGTTTTCGTCACGATATGGCTGAGATATTGCCGATGTGACGTTAAATATTAACTCACTCACTCATTTTCTATTCAATCAGAAGAGAGAGAACTTATTAATTCAACTGCAGGGACAAGGTCACCAAATGATTACATAATGTGAAGCCAAGTCAAGGGAATCAAGAGCAGTAAAACAATATTCGCTAAAAGATACTGAACATTCCTGAAACAAACAAAAACAGTCACTTGCGGCATTCACGGTAAACATTGGCAATCAATATGAGAATAACAAATACATCCAAATCCATCAAGATGACCACATGCTTCAGAAGAAATCCAAATGAAACTATATTGTGATTACTCCGTAATTGAACAAATGGAGTCACCCACTCTACACAGTGGTCAATTCATGGCAATCAGTTGGATGAGGAATGTCACATTTTGCATTCCTCATTACTTGTTGACAATGGCTTCAAGAGGCATGTTCAATAAACGCTTCCTGGATTGTGACCGCATGTACATAATCATATTCCAGTTTGTCAACAAGCAACAGTTCGCTGGATTAAGGTTCCTTCTCACAGCCACTGACTGCTATTAAGGATACTTCAGTATATACATGACAAACCTTTTCTTCTTCAAACACTAAAGACTCAATGGTCTTTTGGGTTTTTGGACACGGAGTAGGTATAACTGCTTACCTTATTAACTAGAATTGTGTGAGTTGAGGTTTTATTGGTAGGGCAGGATATGCCCTCCAGGATGGTGAACACCCGGTGTCATCACTGATCTCTTCACATGATTTTCACAGTTATTTTGCACCTCCCCTTTTTTAGTCGTAGAAAATATGTTCGTTTAATTTGTGGCTAGATTATCTAAAATTGCTAATAGCTGAAGGGATGGTGTAAATCCAGCTGGGGTCCATGCAGGAAGCAAATGTACTGGAAGTCCCCATGGTCCCTAGTATGGTGATCTACCTTCAGTTGTTGGCAATATATAGCCTGTTTTCACCTTGTATTGTCATCTATAGTTAAACTGTTTTAGATTTAAAAGCTAGTTTTAAATTAGAATCTGTGATAATCTAGTTATTTTACTGTCCTTTGTTGACAGGTTTTTACAATTTACCATTAATTACTCTGTATAAAATTAATTGTTCTCGTCACGATATGGCTGAAATATTGCCGATGTGACTTTAAATTTGAACTCACTCACTCACTCACTCACTCACAACCACATCTGACTCTCCACCTTCGTAGACACTTTATGAACTGGGCCACATTGATGATGGCAACCGGCCTGCCAGAAACAGAAGGTTTAATGTTTACCTCTCTTGTTCAGTCACAGCTCACTCGTAACCGCCAATACGAGATTTTGCAAATATGAATTGTACAATGAATATACTGAGACTGTCCAACACATTGTCAGTGGATTTCCAGCGTGGGCACAAACACAGTGTCTTAGGCGGCATCCATGGTACGACCCAAGATATTTTTGGGGCATCATGAAAAATGACAATTCTTTGGAATATACCAGTGTTTATCCATAGACGCACGCACACCTGACCTTAGCTATTACAAATATTGAAATTTATAGTTTTTATTGAAGTATTGAATTGTCCAAAATGAGGTTGACTAGAATGGAGAGAAACTTCGACCTCGCTTACGCAATGTCCTTCATGAAACCCAAGTATAAGGTTGTCCAATATTGTTCTTAGAGCCTCAGGTTTAGTACTCAACATTTTGACTGACAGTGCTAGAGTACCCGGCAGAACGTTGCAGTATTGGGGGAGTTTACACAATGTCATTCTCCGAACAGTCATTACACTGTCCTGAGACGACAGTACTGAACAATTCTTGATTATTTAGATATATAGACAATATATAAGGATGATGCATGGGATTATTGCGACCATGATGCTAAATGTTTACGTGGGGACTGACCCGTTTGACTGCACTAAAACCGACAATGAACCGTTCCCACAGCTCTTATGGTGGCGAACAATAACGCTGACAGCATCTTCCGCTGTCCACGGAAACCGATTCAATGTTATCGACTTCTTTTGTTGTGTTTTTACTAGCAAGATCTTATCATTTTAATAGTAATGCAGCTGTAGACAAACCATACACCTCTATCCGTACTCATTGTTCGAGACAATACGAACCCCTTCCGCACCCAAGATTCTGAAGACAATGCACCATACATCCCGATTATTACTATGCTTGATCTTCTTGTTTGTGAGATCAATGATATTTTGCCATCATGCCGATCATATTCTCTCTAAGCGACGAAGTCAATTTCATACAAACACAAAGACATGCCAAGAAACGTCTCAGAGGTATATCGCGTAACACATTGATACCACTTATGTTTGTTTAACGTGATGTTTGTGTGTTGTACCTAAATAACAGTAAGACTATCCACAGCGTATGTACACGTTATGAAACGTTTAGATATTAACTGGAGCAACACAATCCTATCACATGCAAACTATGTAAGTCGTATACCAGAAGATACATTTGGAACTAGTCAAAACGATGTATATCACCGGACATTATTGTTATTACTGAAGCGTCAAATTTGGAACTGTCACCCAGACGACTGAAACTAAACGTTTTGGAAACTTTACTGAGGCTTTGAATGGTATTTTGATCAAGCAGCTTCTGAGCTAGAATCATATGACGCTCAAAGTTGAATTGAAATACAGATGTCCAAATACATTCTCTGGATAACAAAACTGTAGTGTTATATAGAATTTCTTGAGGACAAAACTGAAAGATGCGAGAAGAACACCATTGATCAAGAAACACATGGAATGGTGATATGTTTTAAGCTTGCACATTCTGATCTGTTGTAGGAAGAACATTTGTTCTGAAAACAGAAGCTTTAGTTATTGACATGGACTGACGATGTTTTAAACTTCCTGACGTCCACATTGCATTTCACAGATGCGAAACTTGAACTTTATTAAAACATTTACTGAAAACAAAATCAATATTGTTATCGACAATTGTCATGTTCTGTTTTGGTGTCATATTTCACTCAATATTCCCGCCATATTAGTTGTAGTGAAAAGTGAGATGGAATTAGGGACACCGAATGTATTCCTTCAGTTAACCCATTAATTACTGACGAAATACGAACGTCAGTTCATTCTCTGTGTACGTGTGGTGGACAAGATGACATTTGTTTTCGCCAGAACCAATACTGCCAAGGTGTCCGATGACCAACCCTTAACGTCACAGGGACATGTTTTGTCTCGGCCAGATCGTTGTATTGACAGGCCTGAGATTTATAATCTCGACAGGAATGTAATAAATCTTCTTCCCTTCTCCTGGGCATTGACTTCATTTGAGTTAAACAGTAACCTGTGACATTCGAATTTGGGAATGTTTGTTGTTTTAAACATTGGTGTATTTCCGAAAGAAGCACGGATTGGTAAACAATCAAAAGGCTTATATCAATACCACTCCCGTCAGCGATGATCAATGACAAGACTGACCTGAAAACTAAAGAAAGATTTGTACGTTATTGGTGCAAGCGTGAAACAGACTTGCAGACTGGAATTCATTTTATATTCAGCTGTAGGAAACAGTATAAGCATGATCATTGATCTAAAACTGTGTGTAATTCAGATATGCATTTAGGCAAGAAATGGGCAACTCAAGCACGCACACATTCTTTCTCTCTGTCCTTTTGCTTTCTCTCTCTCTGTCCTTCTGTTTCTCTCTCATATAGGAAAACGATGTTTTGCCATTGCAATAATTATGTACTGGAATAAGCAATGACACATTTACGGGTTTAACGTCGACTTCTGACCCCCTCTCTACCAATCAACTCCAGTGTTGTGTTTTCCATGTGCAGTCCAATGTTGTTTTCTCCAAAGTCGTGTCCTTCTTGTGTACCCCAATGTAGCATCCCAAATATGGTGTGCTTTCCTTGTGTTCCCAGTGTTGTGTTTCCCAATTTTGCATCAAGAATTGGTGTATTACTTCAGTGTTGTGTCCCCAAGTATTGTATTACTTCAACGTTGTGTCCCCCGGTATTGTATTACTTCAGTGTTGTGTCCCCCAGTATTGTATAACGTCGGTGTTGTGTCCCCCAGTATTGTATTACTTCAGTGTCGTGTCCCCCAGTATTGTATTACTTCAGTGTTGTGTCCCCCAGTATTGTATTACTTCAGTGTTGTGTCGCCCAGTATTGTATTTCTTCAGTGTTGTGTCGCCCAGTATTGTATTTCTTCAGTGTTGTGTCCCCCAGTATTGTATTATTTCAGTGTTGTGTCCCCAGTATTGTATTACTTCAGTGTTGTGTCCCCCAGTATTGTATTACTGCAGTGTTGTGTCCCCCAGTATTGTATTACTTCAGTGTTGTGTCCCCAGTATTGTATTACTGCAGTGTTGTGTCACACAGTATCGTATTACATCAGTTTTGTGTCCCCCAGTATTATATTACTTCAGTGTTATGTCCCCAGTATTGTATTACTGCAGTGTTGTGTCCCACAGTATCGTATTACTTCAGTGTTGTGTCCCCCAGTATTGTATTACTGCAGCGTTGTGTCCCACAGTATTGTATTACTTCAGTGCTGTGTCCCCCAGTATTGTATTAATTCAGTGTTGTGTCCCCCAGTATTGTATTACTGCAGTGTTGTGTCCCACAGTATCGTATTACTTCAGTGTTGTGTCCCACAGTATTGTATTACTGCAGTGTTGTGTCCCCCAGTATTGTAATACTGCAGTGTTGTGTTCCACAGTATTGTATTACCTCAGTGCTGTGTCCCCCAGTATTGTATTAATTCAGTGTTGTGTCCCCCAGTATTGTATTACTGCAGTGTTGTGTCCCACAGTATTGTATTACTTCAGTGCTGTGTCCCCCAGTATTGTATTACTTCAGTGTTGTGTCCCCCAGTATTGTATTACTTCAGCGCTGTGTCCCCCAGTAATGTATTACTTCAGTGTTGTGTCCCCCAGTATTGTATTCCCCAGTATTATTCAGTGTTGGTACTTCAATGTCGTGTCCTCCATTTTTGTATTTTCCAATGCCGTTTCTCAAGGGTTGTCTAATGCCGTGTTGAGTCCCCATTGTTGTGTTCGCCAGTAATGAGTCCTTGCTGTTTCCTCCCCGGGTCCAGCGTTGGTTTCACCATGCTGTGAACCCAACCCCCTCCCCTTCCCAGTCTAGTGTGTTCCCAATTGTCGTATCTTCCAACGCAGTGTCCCCAAGTGCTGTGTCTTTAAGTGTTGTGTCCTCGACTGTCGCGTCCCTAAGACTTTTGTTACATAGCTCCTGTCCTCCAGTGTTTTAGTACTCCAATGCACCCGACCGTCAAAACAAATACCTAAGTTCGAACAAAAATGTTCTTAAAACATTATCGGTAATGGCAATTGTTTGACCTTATAACATAGAAACAGGCTATTGATGCCCAGAGCAACTAAAATTTACAAACAACATCATACAGCTGTAACACTGCTGAAACAAATACATACCCATAAATTCATGGCTACATTTGTCAAAATCGCTAACATCTGGAGGGATCGTGTAAATCCAGCTTGAGTCCATGCAGGTAGCAAAGGTACTTTAAGTCCCCATGGTCTTTAGTATTGTGATCTACCTTCAGTTGTTGGCGACCTGTAGCCCAGTTTTATATTGCATTGTTGAAAATAGAATATTGTCTTTGATTATATGCTTGTTTTAAGTTTATACATGTGACAGACTAGTTATTTTACTGTCTTTTGAAGACAGGTAAGTATGCAAGTATGTTTTTATTCATTTATACATTTACGAATTTAGTTACAATATGGCTGAAATACTGCCGATGCGACTTTAAAATTTGGACTCACTCACATACCCATGATATACTCAGAACTGAAAAGTCGACTCTGCTTTTAGAAGAGATTTCATATGGATGTGGAATGGGGTTTGTCTTTTTTTTCCCCATTGCCATCCAAAGAGCGATTAGCACTGATGCCTGCATGTTACCCCATCAGTTGACAGGTTACTTCGGAGCAAAACCCGAAATCCGAAGATTCATGCCGGTGAAGAGGCTGGTAACCTAAAGGATAATCTGAACGAAGTATTGTTGTACAATAGGACAACTGAAACGTATATTTGTGAATTTCCCCTTCATTGCGACGCGAATATTTTCACGAACTTTAGGCTTCTATATTTATCAGGTGATAAGTCATAAGAGCGGTTGCTTATTTTTCATATTTCCCTGAAGAATGAGTGAGTGTTTTTTTACGTCGCCTTTAGCTATTCCAGCAATAATATCACGGCTCGTTCACGAAAGACACATGTCGATTACAAAACAGGTTTACAATGAAGGAATTGTTACAGGTTATCTTGTTTAAGGGTATGTGTATCCTATCAATAAAACAGATTCTATCAGCTCGAGTCTCACTTGAACTGGGCTGAATTGTATCTGAAAAAGGTTGGTTAATACTGGCATGTCTTGAAGCTACGTTATCTCGCATTACTTCCAGTGGAGAACAGGAACTGTTTGACAGAGACACCGCCATTATCCCATGAAACACTTGCCTTTTTGTGAAGAGGCCGTTTGAACACTTTTTCATTCAAGAAAATAATTAGGGCTGACGTGACAGGTTTTGTGGGAAAGAATTAACTCTTTCTGAAATCAATTCATGACTATTCTTCTTTGGGTCATTGGAATGTTTGTAAAAAATCAACTTCGGAAGATCGAACAACGTCACCACGCGTGAATGTGTTTTACCAATTAAATGCTGTCACTTGATAGAACACAATATCAGGTTTAATTTAAACATCAAGGCACTGCTATAGCTAGCATCAGCGTTGCTGTATGGAATGACTTTCCGGGGAACGATTAACGCGTATTTTCATCCGCCGTTATCGTATTTAAGTACAACAACAGTCTGCTTGTCCTTGTCGATTTGTTACGTGCATGACGAAACCTGTGTTGGTGGTTTTACTTTATTCATGAGCTGTTTATGAGTCTTCTTGAAGTTGCTTCTTGAAGTATGTGTAATACTTTGAGTTAAACTAAATACCGTTAAGATTGAATGTTTGAAATACGTGATATACTTAATTTATGATTGAACACTCACATTTGGCGGGTGGTATATTGTTAGACATGATGTAATCGTATTACATCATTGACAATACATCTGTGTTTTATAACGCCATTGTAATTGTATTGGCATTTCATTTTGTACTGGCTCTCTTTTATTGTGTGTCAGTTAGACACTTTGCAGTAATTTGTATTGATTTATAGATCCAGTTAATGATATTATGCAACTGCTGATTAGTCAACAGTTATGTCTTTGTTTTGTGCTTCCACAGTGCTTGTATCCGAAAAGATATCTAAGCTTGTTTCGATTTCAACGTCTACGTGTAAGAACACATTCATTGTACTAAGATTAGTTTAAGGCAATGTACTTTCATCCGGTATCAGCCATACCATCACAACAT